TGGATCCCACCTGTCCCTCTTGCCCTGCGTGTAAACTGAGAAACGCTTCTGTATTGCTTTGTGCCCAGTGCACCCATCTCCTGGCTCGCTCAGTTTTTCGCAGTGATACAATCTGGAATCTCAGGATTTCCTGTGCTGATAAGGTACCATTTGGCTTGCACAGTCTCTAGGGTGGGGTGAGGACAGGGGAGGCAGAGGCACTGCAACTCTGCCCTTTAAATGTAGTACAAGCCACCCGGCTCTTCCTACATTTCAAAGGCTGAGCTGCAGCAGGGGTGGTGAGCGCCCCCACCCCCTGCTTATTGATTAATTGAGTAGTCTATGGAAATTGCATTGACTACTCGATTAGCTGATTATCTGCAGTTTAACATCCCTAAGTCAGAAGGGGTTAGGTGTAGGTGTTCTCTTTCATTAACGTGCATTGCAAAGGCTTACTTGGAGGGCAAACACAGAAGAGAAGCCTAAAGACCAAGGAGATGATGTGGTTGGGTTGGGGTGCAGGTGAGACACATTCTGACATGGTCAGCTTCCAACTTTCAGAGGAAACCCAACGGCTTGTTGTTTGTCCCATGAAATAAAATTCGTTGTTTGAATGTGGGATATTCTTAATACATGCAGCAGCAGTTGTACTGAATGTGCAGTGAGTCAGTTCAAATGAAAGGAGATGCATGGACAAGCCTTTGATGCTGTCTGAATTGAAGTATGGTTATTTCATAGAATAAATATCAGGGACAGATAGACTAGTTCCTCTGTTTCATGATTCCACGCAACACAGAATATGTCTTTGTTGTTAGAGGCATGAACTCTAAGTTGTGAAAAGTTAACTTTAATGAAGTTATCCTATTCAACTGTACTAAATTAAAGCAGAGGTGGGTAATAATTTCAGTGGGGGTTAGATGCAGTTTGGCTGTCGTGCCACTGTATTTAATTGCTCCGCCACAGGCCCGGGCACTTCCAGCTCCCGTTGGCCGCAGCTCGCTGTTCCCGGCCAGTGGGAGCTTCAGGAATATCTTCTCCTGATACAGCCCTAGCATATGTGCACTAGTTTTTTCTGCTAGCTTTGCATTGTTTTGTTTTTACATTTCACCTGCAGCGTAGTTTGGTTTAAAAGGGAGAAAACAAAAACAAACTGGCTTCCAGGGGTCAAGCCAGCATTTGGCCTAATTTCCTCACCAGTATCACTTTAAGATATTTAACTTGTAGACGGAGCTATAACCGTCTATGATGTCGCCTGTATTGCAGATGTAGGCTTTCCTTTTTTGCTGCAATTTCCTTAAATATAGTTCAGACAGCTTCTCTTTGATGACATCACAATGTGACTCTTCGTTGCAGAAGTCAGATGGATTCCATAAACATATATTTTGAAGTTGATCATTGTAATGAAATGTCCTGTTAAAAGAGGTTTCCTAGCCCAGGGAATATTTGTGTGTGTTTTCTTTTAAACATCTGCTGCTATTTGTAGTGTTGGGAACCTGGTGATTGTGGTCAGTGGTTTCAAAGTGTAGGAGAGAAGTGGGCATGCAAGTACAGTAGACTTCCGATAATCCGGCACCTTTGGGACCTAGGTGGTGCTGGATTATCGGATATGCCGGCAGCGGCGGACTTGGAGAAGTGGTGGAGCAGAGCAGCTGGGTTGCTGCCGGGTTTGTCCCACAGAGCCGCCCCTCACCCCCCTTCTCGGCGATAACTACTGCAGTCTGGGGAGCCCACTCTCTTCCTGGAAACTCTCGGGGACCACAGCAAGAGCTGCCCACCGTGCATATCCCACAACCAGAAGGGGAAGACAAAGGGGTACAGCAGTCCGAGCAGGCTGGCCAGGCTCCAGGAAGGCTGCACTGGGTCTGGGAGGGGCGCTTGACCTGCTTATTTGCGCCTCCAGGCCCACGGAGCAAACTGCCAAAGCCATTTCAGAAGGGCAGCTCCCCCTGTGTGCACCACACACTGGGCAGTGGCACCCAGGCACCACATGGGCCAGGCAGGGGTGGGCAGAGCCCATCCAGGAACCGCAGGGCCTGGCCGGGCCACAGCCCGAGCGCTGCCCGCACCCGCAGAATCCCTGCTTGGCTGCTCTCTCTGCTCTGCCCTTTTGGCTGCAGCATGCCCGGGCTGAGCTACATGGCACCCGCCTGTCCGGGACGAAGCCCTGAGAATGGGTGAGCTCTGGTGTTTACCCCCCAGCCCATAGTGATCCACACCCAGCTTGGGCTCGCTCCAGCTGAGCAGCGAGTCTAGCCGCACCGGCTCTGCTGCTGGAGCCTCCTCCAAGGTGCCTGCAGGGCATATCCAGGCTCCCCGAGCACCTAGCCTGGTCCAAGGTGCTGCCCCACATGCCCAGCCCAGGGCTCTGCACAGCACTGGCAGTGGCATCGGCCCGGCTTGCCATGGGAGACCCGCCTGCGGTGCAGCGCCAGCCCAGGCAGTGCGGCGAGCCTGCATGTCCCGCAGCCTAGCCTGGCAGCACCAAGCTCGCCTGGCTGCTGCACTCCACCTGCCCAGGCTTTGGTCCTCGGCTTCTGACCCAGCGCCGGGCAGCCCGGCCCCTTCCTTGCCTGCTTGGCATGAGCAGGGCTCCTGGGGATTGGAGCCAGCCCAGTAAGTGGGATGGGCAGAGAGTGGAGCTGTGGCTCGTCCCGAGTCCTTGCGAGGGGCCTGGAGGGAAATGCAAGTAGGGTCCTCGAGTACTTGACTGACTACCTGATAAGCCTCTTACATCCCTAATTGTGTTCACCTTTCTTTTAATTTTAAACTCTAAATAGTCATTTGTGTTGACTCTGACCCTCCGAAGGATCTTTGTTAGATTTGAGAGGGCTTATCTGTGAGTCCTTGTTTTTTATACCCAACTGACACTATATCAGTAGGTTTCAAATTTTCCCAAATAGGCTCTTTTACAGTAAATGGCTATAGCTTCAGTACAATATAAAGATACTAGGGGGCTGTGCCCCCTGCTCGCTATGCTCGCCAACCCTCCTCTCGTCGCCGGTGGGAAACCCAGCTCTCCTGCCTGGCTACTGGGGAGGGCTGGGCTGTGGCTCTGCCAGCCTGGATTCTTTCTCCCTCCCCCAACTCTAACCCCCCTCCCCTTCCCAGTCATGGCGTTCACCAGGCCCGGCTCCAGTGCAGCGGTGTCTGCCTGCCCCGTGTGGGGTGCAGTGAGGCACAGATAATGCTGTGTGCACATAGCACTCCAGGGCACTGCAGCCTGCCGAGGTGGGGAAAGCAGCAGTGGGGGCTGCTATCCCACCTTCTCCCCCATGTGGTGCCACCTGTACTGTGCCCAGAGCCACATGTTTGCCCACCGGGAGCAGAAGGGAAGGAGCAGACAGGTCAGTGTGGCAGCTTCCTGGGCAGCTCGGGGGTGCTCTGGCAGACACAGTAAGTGCAGCCGCTGAGGAGGGGATGAGTGTCCGCGAGGGTAGCCGGACTTGGGACAGTCGGGCACTGTGTTCTGGCTCCCCAAGAGCCTGGACACCTGGGAGCCCCTAAGAGCCCGCTGCTGGCACACAAGCCAGGCTGGGAGCCCTGCTCCTAGCGCCTGTCCCTGGGCTGCTGTCCTGAGCACTGCAAACCCTCAGTTGCCATGTGGGGTCTGCCGGCTACTGTGCCACGTTTCTTGGCATCGAAAGCTCTGTGGGGTGGGGGTGGAGGAAAGGGAGTAGGGGCTTGGTTTGAAATAGCAATTCCAAGTGGCGAGGGGGAGCAGTGAGGTTGGGCTTGAGCTGGGAGAGGGATGAGACAGGACACAGAGTGACATGATTTTTTTAATGTATAGAGATGCACATACAAGCAGTCCCCGGGTTACGTACAAGATAGGGACTGTAGGTTTGTTCTTAAGTTGAATTTGTATGTAAGTCGGAACTGGTACATATTGTAGGGGAAACTCTAGCCAAACATTTCTCCAGAGCTCAGTTTTATTCTCCCACACCTCACTTCCCTCAGTCCTTTATTCTCAAGCTGAGGTGTCTGCTGAGAAAAGCCGCTCCACGTCTCCCTGGTCTGCTGGGTGGGGCGCTAGCTTCGTGTCTCCCTGGTCTGCTAGGGGGAAAAGCAGCTAGTGCGGGGTTGCCTCACCCCGTTTGTAAGTAGGGATCCGATGTAAGTCGGATCCATGTAACCCGGGGACTGCCTGTAATTACAAAAGGAGCTGGAAAAGGCTCTGTAGCAATCAATCTGATGTATTTACAAAAGGTGGATGTACAAACTAAACTCATGAAAGAAAAAATTGTTGTTGTTGTTGATTTTTTTTAAATATCTCTGATCCTGCATGACTTCTGTTCGATTCTGATTCAGGAAAAAAAATCACTTAAGTACAGTGTTTTGAAGATAATTCACTTTCGCCTAAATGATTTTCTGAATTGGACCTCTTATTAGGGATTGCTGACGGGAACAGATTTTCACTTTAAGATCTCCATTAAAAGAGTTGGTAGGGTTTGTGGCTGTGTCCCTTCAGAAAGCTGTATTTGAGAATTGAGGGGCATCTTGCTGAACCTGTTGTGTGGCATAAAGGTTTTAAGCTATTTCAGTTGGTACAGAAGTGTAATTTTTAGTATTTTAGAAGGGCAGGACAAACCCAACAGATTCCAAATCAGCTTCCTTTGCTGCTTAATTATTATGCACAAGATAATAAATGAGGGGTTGAAATGTTTGTGTTAGTTTTCTTTTTCCTTTTTGCAGGTGTTGCTGAAGTCTCTGATTTTTATTTAAAGCATGTGATTTCATGTAATTTTGCCCAATTGTTATTGCGACTGTTACCAGCTGCATGCTTGCAAACTACATTCTAATAAAAAGGCAAAGATTATTTTGGGAGGCAAATTTTTGTTTGCTTCTTTTTTTTTTCAAGGCAAGTATTAAAATTTGCAGGTGGTGAAGTGAGCTGCAGCAGCAAGGCCCATGACAGTTGAATGACGTCCCATTATTTTATGGGGAAAGCTAGTACCATACTTCATTTAAATGCTATTTTCAGGGTTAGGGACTGAAGTGGGGCATAAGCCGTGGGCTGGGCCATGCGTGAGTGTGAATGTCATTGTCTCTTCTGAAGGAAATTTGTAGAGAATATGACTTTTAAAGAAGGCATTAGTTGAACATGAGTTAATTATCACTGCATTGATATTTTGGCCGTAGAAAACTTGTGCAAGAATTCCTGTCCTTTGAAGTATATTTATTGATGGCTGGCTTATTAATGCTCCACTTACAGTGTGTGTTCTGAAAATATGACATCAAATCTATTGTGCAGGCTGATGTTGCATGAAATACAGTGCATAGGTCATTTTTAGCTATATAATTACTGAATAGTTCACATTCTTAAATTGTAATGCAGTGTTGTTTTTATTTGTTATATAGCACTATGCCAGTATATACAGGCCTCTAAAATCCGAGATGGTGCCGGCTGTTTCATTTCCAGTGCAGTAGAAGGTAAAAGGAAAAAGAAAAGAAAAACAGCACAAACTCTCTGGCTCTTTCAATATCTTCTCCTTGCTGGCACTTTTGTGCCCTTTGATCTCTTAACTTCCTAGATTCTCTTTACAGCTGACTATTTTATAGTAGGGGGTGGATTTCCAGGCTGTCTCAAAGAAGAACATTTAAAGAGATTTCTTTAAGTGATGTCACTTCTGTGTCTGTCTAAAGCTCTGTCTTAAGCTTTTAGCTTCATCTTGGCATCTCTTGTCTATTTGTGCTTTTCGTGGGTAATGCAATTCAGATTATGCAATTCAATGTATTCTGTTGCTGTGCCCCAAACAGAATTGGAAATAACCTGAAATACAGCTTCTACAGTTGCTGCTAAGAAATAGACAAACCAGTAACTGTAGACTAACTCTAGCATATTGATATTTCAAGAAAAGCACAGATAAATAATTGTGTATGAACGTTACCAGTGCTAATACTTTTCAGTCTTAATTACATGCTAACTCTTCTGCATTTTTCTGCTTCTGTTAAAGGGAATGTCTGTACTGTATTTAATCTACTTATCTTCATGTTTGCTTTCTGACATTTTGCTTTCAGCCTTGTGTGAAAGATCTTGGAAAGAGTATTAAATGATTGACTTGGTATTTTTTCTTTTTCAGGTGAAAATTTTGAACAGACTCCATTAAGGCGCACATTTAAGTCCAAAGTTCTTGCTCGTTATCCTGAGAATGTAGAATGGAATCCTTTTGACCAGGATGCAGTGGGAATGGTCAGTAAGACATTAAGTGCTCTTGGTTTCTTTGGGTTTTTAAAATTAGCGCTCTCCTTCCTGCAGTGTATTTAAAAATAAATGTACAGCTGAATTATTTCAAGAAGCTAGCCTTCTGATGATGGCAAAATAAAAAGCTGCAGTAGAAAAGGTTAAAAACTAATTGTCAAGTTGCTCTAAATTGTGCAGATTTGTTTAAATGAAACAATTTACGTTTGGTTTTATACTTGGGGAATATAAAATGAAGGCCTTTCCCCTTAAAATGACCAATTATTTTTGTATTATAGGGCCTGTAGGAACTTCAGGAGGTCATCTAGTCCATCTACCCGTGCTGAGGCAGGAGTCATGATGAATCATTTTTTACCTCTTATTTTGCCATATGCCAGAGAGTAGGCAGTTGAAGTAGAAGTGAGGGAAAATTAGTTCTCTTTGTGGTTTCTGATTAGTTTGCTTCGTCTCCATCTATTTCTTTTTTCAAGGAATGGAAAGTAACTTCTTACCTCGCCTTATATTTTTTTCAGTGCTTTACAACACTCTTCTTTTAAAAGCAGAATTTACAATTAAAATATTTTTCTTCCACTGTTTATGTAGGGTATAATACTATTCCTACTGACGTCAGTGACAAAAGTCCTGTGAACTTCAGTGGCAATCAGAAGAGTGGGCCTTGTGCTGCATACTTTGGTTCTGTGTAATAATTCGGGCCATGACTGCACTGGTACTTTACAGCGCTGTAACTTTCTGTCTCATGGGTGTAAAAAAACCAACCAACCAAAACCCCAAAGTGCAGCAAGTTACAGTGCTGTAAAGCACCAGTGTGAACCAGGCTGCAGCACTGGGAACCGAACTCCCAGCTCAATTAGTTACTCCCCTCGTTGATATGGGTTACATCAAGTGCTGGGAGACCTCTCTCCCAGTACTCCTGCGGTGGCCACACTTTCACGTGAAAGCACTGACATGGCTGTGCTTTGAACTGTTAGGTGTAGATGAAGCCTGCCCTTTGCTGTTTGTGTGTAAGACACTACCTACTACTCTAATGCCTTACAAAGTCTATTTAGAGAGAAATGAAATGTAATGTTAGTCTCATGAGTCTCAAATGCTACCTATTGCCAATTAAAAAAAAAATGCAAAATGTAGTTTAGTATTTAACTTTTTTGTTTTCTTTTATAGCTGTGTATGCCTAAAGGGCTTGCTTTCAAGACACAAGCTGATTGCAGAGAACCTCAGTTCCATTCGTTTATAATCACCCGGGAAGATGGCTCGCGGACATTTGGGTTTTCTCTCACATTTTATGAGGAAGTTACCAGCAAGCAAATCTGTAGTGCAATGCAGACATTATATCATATGCACAATGCTGAATATGATGTTCTGCATATTCCGCCCACGAATGATAAAGATAGCTGTAGCAGCATAGAAGACTGTAATGGAACTCCTGTATCAAAACTACAGCGTATTAACTCATATGATATTAGCAGAGACACACTGTACGTCTCTAAATGCATTTGTCTGATTACGCCAATGTCTTTCATGAAGGCTTGTAAGAAAGTACTAGAACAACTCCACCAAGCAGTAACTTCTCCTCAGCCACCACCGTTACCTTTAGAAAGTTACATCTACAATATTCTCTATGAGGTTCCTCTTCCTCCGGCAGGGAGATCCTTAAAATTTTCAGGTGTTTATGGACCAATTATCTGCCAGAGGCCAAGCACCAGTGAACTGCCCTTATTTGACTTTCCAGTTAAAGAAGTTTTTGAATTACTTGGAGTGGAAAATGTGGTTCAGCTCTTCACTTGTGCGCTTCTGGAATTTCAGATACTGCTTTATTCACAGCGTGAGTACTTTTGTCTTGTCCCAGGTACTAATGGCATCAGTTTTGTTTTTAGAGTTCTGAGAAATAAATATCTGTAATAAGCTGCTCTTCGCATGTTGCTGCTGTCAGAGTAATTTAAATCAAATTTCCCTGGAAACTGAAGGTCCTCAGCAATGCTGGAAATCAGAGTACCTAACATCAGATATTTGAGTTTGAAAATGTTGTTCTTACTTCACTATCCCATATGCACGTAATGACGTAAGAGGACAGCAAGGAAGTTGGCATCCTGCTTTCTTTACAGAAACACCAGTAACTAGAAGAATAAAGGGATGGTCTTGCCTCCATTTCTCCCCAGCTTGCTGAATTCCCACTCTTACTTCATTCAGCCAGAGGCAACTTAGGTGTGGCCTACACGTAAGTTAGGTTGAGACAGCTCCGACCCTTGGTGGTATCAAAAATACGCAGCCCTGAGCACTGGAGTTGTGCTCTCCTAATCTCTGGGGTAGATTCAGCTAGATCTATGGAAGGATGTTTCCGTTAGCCTTGTTGGCTTTCCTTGGAGGATGTGTAGTTCCAACACTGATGGAAAACCTTCTCCTGTCATTGTAGGAAGTATCCATTCTGCAATCCTACGTGCGATGGCCGTGTCACTTCAGTGCTTGTAGTGTAGACACAAACTGTTGTAAACGTGCGATGAAGCTGAGGTTGTATTTCAAGAGGCCTTTATAGTTAATAATGTATGGTTACAAAAAATAAATAAATTGTGCAACCAAATTTTCTGGTTGGACAAGTTATTTGACAAATTAAAATGTAATTCTCCATTTTCTGTCAGGACCGGAGTCAAATCTTATTGAAGTCCAATAATATAGAACCATTTTTAGAAAGCGTGTCAAGTGCTAGATTAGATCAGCATTTGCTTTCACATGGCTTGCTTGGTTTTCTATATTGCTCTTTATCTGGTAATGTTTTTGCAAGAATCTTAAACACCTCAGGCTTCAGTTGCTATATTAAGGTTTTGTCAAACCTAGACTTCCTGCAGTGGCATTACACCCAGAGAAGTAGAGTTACACATGCAGAGAACTTTGACTTATTTCTTTTGTACTTCCAAGAGTTTTTGCCAGTTGTGCAGCCCCGCAGGCAATAGGGATGGTGGGTGTGCTAGTGTAGACTTCGTGTTCGTGGTCTAGCAAAGAAAATCAAATGCATGGTAAATCCAAAGATAAGTTGCGTTAATTATATCATCTGCTGGTTTCCAGAATGATGATTTTTTTCTCCTCCTGCCCTATTTAGAATAATCCCTGAAATAAGTGAAATAATTGTGTGGAAAATTACGAATTACTTACAAAACATGTCCTATGTCTTCAGCAATAACTTATACAGATCTACTATACCCTGCATGTACAATATTTGGTTACACAAAGCAGTGAGAATGGAATGTGTTTGGTGAATTATCAAAACTATGTCTATATTAGGAGCTGAGTTCTGTGTCTATGTAATTGGGATTGGACATTCAAGAATGGTCAAAATAATCAGGTGTGTTTCTGCAGTGTTGCCATGAATTGGTGTTTCTGAGCTGTGATGTTAGGAAGGAACAATTGGTTCCATACATACAAGATGGGAAGTGACTGTCTAGGAAGGAGCATGGCGGAAAGGGATCTAGGGGTCATAGTGGACCACAAGTTGAATATGAGTCAACAGTGTGATGCTGTTGCAAAAAAGCAAATATGATTCTAGGTTGTATCAACAGGTGTGTTGTAAGCAAAACTCGTGAAGTCATTCTGCCGCTCTACTCTGCACTAGTTAGGCCTCAGCTGGAGTACTGTGTCCAGTTCTGGGCGCTACATTTCAAGAAGGATGTGGAGAAATTGGAAAGGGTACAGAGAAGAGCGACAAGAATGATTAAAGGTTTAGAGAACATGACCTGTGAAGCCAGGCTTCATGAACTGGGCTTGTTTAGTTTGGAAAAAAGAAGATTAAGGGGGGACATGATAGCGGTTTTCAAATATCTAAAAGGGTGTCACAAGGAGGAAGGAGAAAATTTGTTCCTCTTGGTTTCTGAGGACAGGACAAGGAGTAATGGGCTTAAAGTGCAGCAGGGGAGGTTTAGATTGGACATTAGGAAAAAATTCCTAACTGTCAGGGTGGTCAAATATTGGAATAAATTGCCAAGGGAGGTGGTGGAATCTCCCTCTCTGGAGATATTTAAGAACAGGTTAGATAGACATCTGTCAGGGATGGCGTAGACGGAGCTTGGTCCTGCCTTGAGGGCGGGGGGCTGGACTCGATGACCTCTCGAGGTCCCTTCCAGTCCTATTATTCTATCATTCTATGTGTGTGTTCTTCACTAGTTAGCTACATGAGAATAGTAATATAAAATGGGTTCATTTCCTTTGGTTTTTTCTCCCTACACACACAGAACAAGTTGTGCCATCATGTAACAATCCTTATGAGGATTTACAAAACAAACAATTTCACTTATAGTAACTTTTTTGAATTTTGGGAGTGACTAGAATAGACATTGAGTAGGCTGATTTCTCAGATTTTGCTTTGGAGGTTCAGTAATTGTTTTGGCAATTGCAACAATTATTTCTCATAAGAGATGTCATGAAACTTAAATCTCTTATCATTCCAGTAACCTGGCTGACTAGTGACATTGTGATCAAACTGAGCTGCATTCATCCTCGAGGCATGTTCAGTAACAGATTTGTGTACATGTAGCCAGTTGAGTGGAATGAGGGAAGAAATAAGTATAGCGTCATGGGTATTGGGTGAACCCCATTTCATACCCTCAGAAAGTAGGCTTCACTTCCGTCACGTCTCTCGGTGGTAGAACCTCATGGCATAGCTGATCTTAGATCTGAGGGTGCAGCCCTTGTTTCCTGTATTCGTTGTGAAGAACTTCCCTTTTAGATTACACGACCATCAAGTAATTAAAATCAATTCAAACTGCTTTTACAAAACAAACATTATTTATTTATTCACCAGAATGTACATAACAATCAGACTCTGACAACTGAACACATGTCGTTCTTGAGAGGAAGTGTTTTTAACTGTGTATAACCATTTGATTTCAGGTCCTCAATCTTATCACATGTAACTGTGTAACTTGTCCTGGGGCCTTAAAGAAACAGTTTCCCTATTAGTGGTCCAGCTTTTGTTCCCTTAATTCCCTTCAAGCTCTTTGCCCAGAGGCATTTTACCTCTGACCATTGTTTGGTTTCCTGCTTGCTCTTTATATCAGACATTTTTTATTTAATTCCCTTTATCCAATCTTAACAATATTCAAACTTAAGTACACATAATATTAATAAATATGACTGTCCCCTGTTTTCCACATACAGGTGTATCTGTTCACACAAAAAAGAAGCTTTATATAGAATAGAAGCTTGTAACTTTGATTTGTGGTTGTCCTTCAAGTTTTGTCTACCAAAAACTGCCTTTTGTTGACAAAACAATGAGAGTGTACACAGTACAATGCAGCTTTCATTGGGGAAAAACACACAGTTTTGGTGACAAAAAACTTCTACCTCTGCGAGAGGCTTTTGTCTTTTCCCCTCCCTTCATTGTATACAAAGAGTTAGTCTGGACAAAACAGTCAAGAGAACAGGCTTCCCCCAGTATCGTACAATGCCTGCCCTGATAGTTCTGATCAGTGATTTGTGATCTCTGCTGCGCTGCAGGCATGCGCCCCTCCCCTTTCAAAGCTCTGAGACGTATCTGACAGCTGAGTGAGCAGCTCTGTTTGGGGAACAAACAAAAAGAGCAAATAATTGGGCTGCTCCTGTTCTGCCCTGCTAGGAACACGGCAGCAGGCAGACTCCTGCTTCGGGGGAGGTCTGGAGTGACAGCTGTGCTGCTTTGACACTCCTCAGCAGGGAGAGCTCACAGAGCTATTCATGCTTCTCCCAACAGCTGAGGATGCTGTGAGAGGACTTAGAGGGAATCTCAATAAGTGCAGTGATTAGCTTTGCCTTCCCACAACACTGGACTATGGGATGCTTACCCATAGTGCTTTGCTCTATCTGTCAACAGGGGAGCTGGCAACATGGCCATGAAATGTCGACAGTGGGAGGCAAGAAAATCAGTGCTTTGCTCTATCTGTCAACAGGGGAGCTGGCAACATGGCCATGAAATGTCGACAGTGGGAGGCAAGAAAATCAGTTTGACCAGTTTTCATTTTTGGTGACTTCATGCTGACAGCACTTTTGTCGCCAAACCTTCCCAGTGTAGACATAGCCTTAGTGTTTTCTTGTGCCTCAAATGATCATACTCAGTTGCTAACAGAAATTACTACTTGACTTTTTGCTGGAGTGGCCAAGAACATTGCATTGGTTTCTTTCTGTTTATTAAAATGCTCTAGACACAACTTTTTCCGATTAATACTTGTTTTTTAATGGGACTGGCAAGTAAGCTCAAGTGATTTGCTTTGTTTTATCCTAGCTCCCATGAGTGCTCTGATATCCTTTGCTGAAAATACTCTTTTAAAAAAAAATTTACTTGAGCAAAACCTCCGTGACAATTGTAACAGATATCCCTACTCCTTTTCTAGCATCAGCATAGTTCATGTATGCTTTTACTCTTTTAGAAGAGGAAGAACACCATTGTAATAAAGCTGTGGCACTCGTTTTGATGCTTATAGTGACACAGTCTCAAAATTGTCTGAAGTTTTTTCTTTATATAATCAAAGATGTTACTGGTAGCATTTATCATTGAAACTAAAGCAGGGGTGAGCAAAAGGGCCTCTGCGGGCCAGATTTGGCCTGCCAAGTGGATGGATTCGGCTTGCGGAGGCCCTGCTGCTCCCCCGTCCCCAGGCCAATTGGGAGCTAGGGGAGTGCACAAAGTTTCCTCCGCCCTGCCAGGAGCACACAGCTCTTGGAAGCACCAGGAGCTCCTGACAGGGCTGGAGGAAGCTTTGCGTGTTCTCCCACCCCCATGCCAATCAGGGGCTGTGGGTGGAGGAGCGCGTGAAGTTTCCTCTGCTCTGGCCCCGCCTTGTTAGGTGCACACGGCACTTAGAAGTTTCATGCGCTTCTGGCAGGGCAGAAGAAGACTTCATGCGTTCCCGCCCAAGGCCCTGATTGGCTTGGGGGCTCAGGAGCATGGGAAGTCTCCTCCCAGATAGGAGCATGGGCACCTAGAGGGAAGGGGGGGTGGACGAAGGCGCTCCCCCACCCCGTGACCAGTCATGGTCTGGGAGTGGGGAACCCGGAAGTATCCCAGCCCCTCCCTTTCCAGAGCAGCCTGCGGCCACTTCAGAAATTTTTGAAGTGGCCTCTGGCAAAAAATTATTGCCAAACCCTGGACTAGAGAGAGTTTTATTTTCCATCTTGTTTTTTTATTTACTTGTTTACTTAATTATACTTTGTAGATAAGGTGCACTGTTTTCTCATATATGATCAGTTTGATTTCCTGTTTAGCTTATGTGGGGTTTTTCAAACAGCAAGAAGGGAGAACACTCTTAAAACAAGGAAGTTTGGTTATAAAATCTCAACAGTTGGTAGGGAAACTTGGCAAAGTGTGAAGTCACCTAATTTTTAACTATGATCTACATTTTGATAGTTGTGTCAGACTATGTATTTAAATGCTGAACTTTAAACACCTACATGTGAAATTTTTGCTCTAAAACCTTTTTTTTTCTAAATCCCTCTAGAAGCCTGAATTTTTCACTTATGTGACATGTAATTAGTTGGACAGTTTTTGATACTGTACGCTCTTTGTGTCAGATGAGATCACTCTACTAGTTCAGGAGAGCTTGACTAAGAAGTATACAGATCTGAAAATCTAAAAAGTTGAGTACTTGTCTACACAGGATGCTATATTGTATTAACTTCAGTTTGTTCACCTTAAAGAGCCTTGTGTCTAGACATGAACTTTTAAAAGTGAGTTACTTGGCACCTTTTAAATAGCATGAGTAATCCTCCCTGAAGCAGGAGGATTTTAAGGTTTGCATGGACTAATTCTTCTTCGAGTGCTTGCTTATGTCCATTCTGTCTAGGTGTGTGCGTGCGCCCTGTGCATAAGTTCCAGAACCTTTTTGCCCTTAGCAGTACCCATTGGGCCAGCAGGGGAGCCCACTGGAGTGGCACCGGTATATCCTAGCATATAACCCCCTGCTGGCTCTCTACCCCCTCAGTTCCTTCTTTCAGCCCATGATGGTTGCTAGAATGCTCTGCTTGCCTTTGCAAGTGTGTTTTTAGCTGTAAATAGTTTCTCCTTAGGAGTAGCTGAAGCAAAATACAGGACTATGTAGCACTTTAAAGACTAACAAGATGGTTTATTAGATGATGAGCTTTCCTGGGCCAGACCCACTTCCTCAGATCAAAAAAAAAAAAAAAAGTTTTTGATCTGAGGAAGTGGGTCTGGCCCACGAAAGCTCATCATCTAATAAACCATCTTGTTAGTCTTTAAAGTGCTACATAGTCCTGAATTTTGCTTCAGCTACACCAGACTAACACGGCTACATTTCTATTACTATCCTTAGGAGTAGTTAGCAGTTGATTGTTAGTAGATAGTGATTAGATAGCATTGATAGTAGTTTCCCTGATTCCCTCCTGGAGGGCTTGAAACCCTGTCAACAGTGCTCCAAACCCATGCTCCACTGATATCCACACACACACTGTTTGAAGTGCCTAGGTGAGGGCCATTTAACTAATGCCTGCA